TATACACACACACACACACACACATATATATATATATATATATATATACATATATATATATTGTTTTTTTAAGAGACAAGACAGAATATTACTTGCCTGATCTGATTAGAAAAATAGTGTTTGTGTGTGTGTGTGTGTGTGTGTGTGTGTGTGTGTGTGTGTGTGTGTGTGTGTGTGTGTGTGTGTGTGTGTGTGTGTGTGTGTGTGTGTGGCGTAATTGAACAATGTAGACATAAAAACATACTCCGTCCTTTTGTTCATACAGGACATTATTCAAACTGCAAAGTGTTTACTTATATTTGTGTACACTCGCAATAAAACACAACATTGTGCTTTTGTCAAACTATAAACTCTTGTCAAACTGTAAACTACAACTGTCACCCAACCAAAATCTCTTACACACACACACACACACAGTTTAAAAGCAAAAAATATCAAACAATCCTATTTAAAAACAGTCTGTGGGAGCCATCTTTTGGACATTCATCATATCGCATTGGTTTTCATTTCTTGTCATCAAAAAGAGCCCTAATCTGTTTATTTTTTCAGTTACACATTCTACATTGATTAAAAAAGAAAAATCAAATGTGTTTTTATTTTATACAGAAATAAATAATCTATCATCCAGATGAGAATAAAGTTAGTGTTAGTTCAAATTTTAAGGAAAACAAATATATGATCTGAAATATAGCACATTCATTTAAAATTCATTCAGGTTCAATTACCAAACATACAATCTTAATGTAATTTAAAGCAAACAATACGTTTAAAATATATGGGTTGTATGACTATTTTTTAATATAAAAAGATATATATCCAAAAAGACAAGGCCTAAAGTTTAACAAGGGTTAAACTCTTATCACTGTAACAGACACAATCACACACACAATCACACACACACACACACACACACAAGTCAAATCACTTACATTTTACATGCAATATTGACTTTTTTTCTGTTTCAGCAGCGAAAATAGTTAAACAAAGATCACAGCAGAACCATCGCGCATCTCACAGCAACGCGTTCTCATTACTGAATGATTCAGCATTTTGAACGAATCGGTTGACTCAAAGATTCAATGACCAATCAATCCATAAACATCTATCTCATTCATGAATGACTCAGTCGTTCAAACGAATGAATCAATGACTCGCTCATTAAGACGGTCGCCTGGCGACACCTAATGACGGTTTAGTGTTATGTTTAAAAGTATCATTCTTTCCAACGATTGTTAATTAACTCATATTTGAAACATAAGCTATATTTATATATATACATACATATACACACACATACACAAAAATAAAATAAAAACACATTTGAAACGTGTTTTCTTACTAAATTGTGAGCTGAACGAAAGTTGCAGCAAATATCAGCAACAGGAGTCAAATTTCATTAATCACGAGAGTGAAGAGCTGACTGAAAAGATGATGACGGAATAGGCTATTTTATGTAAAAACGCCTATTTAAGCGAATCTGTCATTGTACTCTTTTATTGTTGTGTTTTCCGTGAAAAATAATAGACTATTGAACTCAGAATTCAAGCAATCGGCCCCCGAAATTGCACTAATTTTAGTGACACTAAAAAGTATGCGGCTGCACTGGCATTCATAATGGTGCGCGTCCATGGCGACGAGCGAGCAGAACAGAGCGAACGTTTAGTTAATTTCTACTTCCATAGGAATTCATTCGAGCGCCACCATTTCAATGTCCGTGCGGACGTCCATATTATACTTTCGCTTTCAAGTTAGTGTTTTTAAACCCCCCAGCGGGAGGTTTACACAATTTGTTTACACAATCACACGTTGATTAACCGGTGGGAAAATATTCCCATAGTAACATCCCTAATATATAAATATATATAAATTCAATAGGCCTACCTGATTTTGAACACAAGAGGGCAGTATAGCACTATATATGATTTGGATTATTATTATTTTTGACTAAACAACCATTCTGGCTGTTTTTAAACTTAAAAATAATTCTTAAATTGAAAAAAAGGAATAAAATGGGTTTAGTTCTAATATTTGTATAATTTTATATAAAAATAAATGGTGTATAATTACATTTTAGAAAGATATGAGACATGCCCTGATTCTTTTTTTGACATTATTGTCCTCGATCAGAGCCCTAATCTGTTTATTTTTTCAGTTACACATTCTACATTGATTAAAAAAGAAAAATCAAATGTGTTTTTATTTTATACAGAAATAAATAATCTATCATTCAGATGAGAATAAAGTTAGTGTTAGTTCAAATTTTAAGGAAAACAAATATATGATCTGAAATATAGCACATTCATTTATAATTCATTCAGGTTCAATTACCAAACATACAAATCTCAATGTAATTTAAAGCAAACAATACATTTAAAATACATGGGTTGTATGCTATTTTTTTTTATATAAAAAGATATATATCCAAAAAGACAAGGCCTAAACTTTAACAAGGGTTAAACAATCACTGTAACAGACACAATCACACACACACACACACACACACACACACACACACACACACACACACACACGTCAAATCACTTACATTTTAGATGCAATATTGACTTTTTTTTCTGTTTCAGCAGCGAAAATAGTTAAACAAAGATCACAGCAGAACCATCGAGCATCTCACAGCAACGCGTTCTCATTACTGAATCATTCAGCATTTTGAACGAATCGGTTGACTCAAAGATTCAACGACCAATCCATAATCTGTCTCATTCATGAATGACTCAGCCGTTCGAACGAATCGTTTGAACGAATGAATCAATGACTCGCTCATTAAGACGGTCGCCTGGCGACACCTAATGACGGTTTAGTGATATTAAAAGTATCATTCTTTCCAACGATTGTTAATTAACTCATATTTGAAACATAAGCTATATATATATATATATATATATATACACACATATATATACACACACATATATATACACAAAAATAAAATAAAAACACATTTGAAGCGTGTTTGCTTACTAATTTGTGAGCGGAACGAAAGTTGCAGCAAATATCAGCAACAGGAGTCAAATTTCATTAATCACGAGAGTGAAGAGCTGACTGAAAAGATGATGACGGAATAGGCTATTTTATGTAAAAGCCCCTATTTCAGCGAATCTATCCTTGTACTCTTTTGTTGTTGTGTTTTCCGTGAAAAATAATAGACTATTGAACTCACAATTCAAGCAATCGGCCCCGTTATTGCACTAATTTTAAAGTGACACTAAAAAGTATGCGGCTGCACTGGCATTCATAATGGTGCGCGTCCATGGCGACGAGCGAGCAGAACAGAGCGAACGTTTTTTAGTTCATTCCTACTTCCATAGGAATTCCCTCGAGCGCTCTGCACGTGGCCATTATCAATGTCCCGTATTTAAAAGCTCTCGGTCCTCAGTCACATACCAAATATATGTATAATGTATATATAAATATAATTTTGGACACAAGAGGGCAGTATGGCCCTATGTATAATTTTGTGTTTAAACTAAAAGAGCCCCTCCCCCCCTCCCCACACAGACACAGACACAGACACACACGAATGGCAGGGTGCATTCTCTCTGTCAGAGGGAGAGGGAGAGAAAATTCTCAGAAACATCCACATTCAAACCAAAATATCTAACTTCCTCTTGGTCTGAGCTAATGACAGTTAATTAGAAAGTTGTCCGGCTTGATCTGAACCATATGCATACCTGTGTCTGTCGAGTTTCATGCAATTTCAAGCATGCTAAGAGTCTCAAAAGCATCAAACAAGAATATTAAAGTTTGATGTGTTGCCACGGCAACAGTATCTAAGATATCAATAATCCTTTCACAGGTCTACATCTGCCGTGTGTTTACATTATACACATAAAGTTTGAAGCAAATCGGGTAAAAATAAGAGGGTGATTTCAAAGCATTTAGGAAGTGACACACTTCCTGCTGCCAGTTGGTGGCGCTATAACTTTGACTCACAATAGTCACATCCATGTGATCGGGCTCTTACAACGAACACACTGTTGAAGTTTCATCAAGATCAGTTAATGTATGCAGTAGTTATGACACACTTCCTGTTTCACGTTTCTCGCCATAATTTTGTTTCCTCGCCACGGCCAAACCGTTCGAGATATCAAAAATCCCCTCGCAAACTTTCATCCTCAATGTCTTGACTTCATGCTGACCGAGTTTCGTGCCGTTTGTTTGAATTCTCTAGGAGGAGTATTTCACATTCCATTGCGTGTGTTTTACCAACAACCCTAAATAGCCGACTTCCTGTTGGGCTGGGGTAAAAAGTAAGAGTGTGAAGTATATATGAAACGAGGAGATCTACATGTGTACCGAGTTTCATATTATTACATGCAAGCGTGTTTGATTTATGGACCATGTTTTCGGACCCCGTTCCAGGGGGCGCTGTCGAGCCCCCCTGCCACGCCCGGGTACCATCTTCAACCCGGCCCTGATGGCCGCGGGTTCTGACCCGCGTGCAAAGTTTCAAGAGTTTTCGTGCACGTTAAGAGCCCCAAAAGTGCCCGAATAGTCGTAAGAAAAATAAAAGAGGAGAAAAAAATAAAATAAAAAAATAATCCTAAGGAAAACAATAGGGCCTTCGCCTTTTCAAGGCTTGGGCCCTAATAATCCTAAGGAAAACAATAGGGCCTTCGCCCTTTGGGCTTGGGCCCTAATTAAAAAATGTAATCAATTTCTGTGATGCAAAGCTGAATTGACTCGATGTTACCTGAGCACCAAATCAGCATATTAGAATGATTTATGAAAGGATCATGAAGTCTGCAGCAGTAATGACTGCTGGAAAGGAATAAATTATATTCAAATAAAACAGTTCTTTTAATTCTTAATTTGTTCTTCTGTTTTACGGTATTATTGATTAAATAAGTGCAGCCATGTTGAGCATAAGAGATTTCTTTAAAAAACATAAAGAATTGTTCTTTCCAAAGTTTTGACAAAATTTTATATAAAAAGTACGTTTCATTTAAGTTGGCTCTTCACCCAGTAATCGGTTTCTCCAGGTGTGCATGCTGATCAGAAATTGTTGGGACGAGGACCCAGACAGAAGACCAGACTTCAAAAAGATAGAAATCACTCTATGGAAGATTGTCAGGTCACTTTTAAATGCTTTTGTTCGACATTGAGAAATCTTAGATGACTGGTAGACAAAGAAGAAAGAAATCAAAATCAAATCAGACCATTAGCATGCATGATGACCATCTGAAAATCTAAATGAAAGGAGTCATGATTGTAATCTCTCTAATACATGATTTTCTGATTTGGTTATGAATAGTCTGGACAACCAGGAACATGAGAGCTACATGGAGAATCTGATCCGCCGGCTGCAGATGTATTCCCGTAACCTGGAGCGGCTGGTTGAGGAACGCACAGCTCTGTACAAGGCTGAGAGAGACAGAGCGGACTGCCTAAACTTCATGCTTCTGCCTGGGTCTGAACACAACAAACAGAAGAACACCGCAGAATCTTCTTGTGATCATTATTAGATATGCACATTGCTTATTGGCCAGTATTAGTAAATATTGAATGTACTAATTTACCTTGCTGTCATTTAATGCTCAATTAATGTTAATCTTTAAAGTCACCATGAAATCAAAATTGACAAAATTCTCTTCTCTTCTCTTCTCTTCTCTTCTCTTCTCTTCTCTTCTCTTCTCTTCTCTTCTCTTCTCTTCTCTTCTCTTCTCTTCTCTTCTCTTCTCTTCTCTTCTCTTCTCTGATGACTTTTACATTAGATTACAGCAATAGTAAACCAGAGTAATCCAATCAATTCCAATACATTTATTTTCTTCTTCTTTTCACTATTAAATGTAGCAAATCTTAAGCAAAACTTAGCAAATCTCAAATAAATCTCAATTTTTATACTGTAGATTATGATTTTATGATGCCTAAATGCATTTCTAGCATTTAAAAACTAGATTTTTTTTCTTTTTGTTTAAACAAAAGTGTACAGACTAAGTAATTAAATCATTAACCCTTGTCTTTTTTTCTTTTTTTTTGCAGACCAGTTGTGCGCTCTCTGAAGGAAACAGGAAAAGTGGAGCCTGAGCTCTTTGACGAAGTCACCATCTACTTCAGTGACATTGTGGGATTCACCACACTGTGCCACTTCAGCACACCTATGGAGGTGGTGGACATGCTCAATGACATCTACAAAAACTTCGACAGCATCCTTGACAATCATGATGTCTATAAGGTATTTCAATTCACTATAGTACCCAGTATCATAGAACTCTTTTACATTGCCTCAGTAATTCAAGGCGATGTGTCTGTGTGTCTATTTCAGGTAGAGACGATTGGTGATGCATACATGGTGGTGTCTGGTCTTCCTCGACGCAATGGGAACAGGCATGCAATGGATATCTGCTTCATGGCACTGGACATCTTGGCCTTCATGGGCACATTCCAGTTGCGCCATCTCCCTGGGATGCCCGTATGGATTCGCATCGGTGTGCATTCAGGTAACGGCCAGTCATTCATTGTACTCTTTTCAACAGTGCGGCCTTATAAACTGTTAGATTAAAGTTTTCAAGTATTGCAGAGGGCATTTCTTAATAGGGGCTTTTGCACCGGAGGAACCTTTTTATAGTTCCTAGAACTATTGGTGGAAGTATCAGAATTTTGGCGTGTACGCACCGCAGGAACTATGAACGATTTTAGTTCTAGGAACTCCTTTTGGAGGAACTAATTTAGCTCCTACTTCAGAGTAGGGTCTAAACCAGCGCTATAGGAACTACCAGTGACGTCAGTGTACGCTGATTGACCGAACGCGCGCGAAACACCAGCACCCGCCATTTAAAAAATAGCTGTGTAAACACACAGATTATAGCCTATTTTACTCCAGAAATGAACTCTATGAACATGAAAACAGTGATAGATGGGCCTCTTAACCTTTATGCTAAAGAGAAAATCCAACGCAACTTTGAGGGGACCAAGCCAAACACGATTATGTATTTCTGCTCAGCTAGCAACACTGGACATCAACCACACGGCATACTCTAATACATTTTCATATACTGTCTACTTTCTATGTAAAACACTTTAATTTTCTCATATTATACATTGCAACATCACCTCTTTTCTTACAGAGTCTGAAATGGTTCGATAAAGGAATCGGTCTCTCTAAAGCCCTCTTTTCCGCGAGCCTACTCTGCTCTGATTGGTCAGATGGCCCAGTCTGTTGTGATTGGTCTACCGCTTACAGCGTGTGTTGGAAATGAAATAAATACCCATTACCATATCTGAATTTCAGCTCTGAGGCTTCCTCAGCACTAGTATACACAGTGATAAGAACAGTAATGATGGTGTCAATTCATACTTTGCACGTGACGTCACGTCACAAGTACTGGCTGGCGGGCAAGAACTTCGTTCTCCAGCAACGAAACCCAGTAAACTAATCAAGGATCTTGTCAGGACGTCGCCAGTTTTACTATACAAAAGTTGGTGTTTTGAGGTTTGTGATATCTATGGTTTTCAATGAGAACCAGAGATGACCCAACAGTAGAGCTAGATTATTTACGGAGGAATTATTACTGCTCGATTATCTTAAAAAACCTCGTCTGCTTTACACAATTTAGCTACCTTGGAGTTAATCCTATTTCTAGTCCATAGTTATGCAGCTAGCTCGCTAACAGACTTGATAGCTACGAAAAGACCCATAAGACCTGGAACTACAGGACTCTACGTTGAAAATACCCGTTTGTTGCCCGCCAGGTATCCATGGTAGTCACGTGACTGCAAAGTATGAATTGAACCCGAGTACTCATCATTTGGAAGTGCATGCAAGGGACCAGTGCAGGAAGTAAGACTGGATTTACTGAGTTGTTTCAGGCCGTTCAGATTCGGTTCTATCTTTTGGCAGACAATAATTCCATTTATCATGTATTTTGACCTTTGAAACTTTGCAGACCTTTTACGTTCACGAACAGCAATATAACACACTGCATGAAAGGTCATATCCGAAAAAAATTATGTTTTATTAATAATGTTCGGGAAGAACTTGTTCAAATGATCTATCCAATCAGCACGAGAGGAGGCCTATATATATATATATATATATATATATATATATATATATATATATATATATATATATATGCAGCCGACTCACCTATGTTCCTCAACAGTTTTCAGCATCCCTCTGACTCCTCACTCTTGGCTGTTTCCTATATCACAACCAGGGATACGGGGGGAGTACTCTGGGTTCGGGCCAAAATACAGATTTCTGAGCCCTCTCCTCGGACAGCAACCCAAATACGCATACTCTTTTACTCGATCTGTGCCGAAGTGTGAACTCGAGAAATGCAAGGGTCAGAGAAAGGGTTTCGAAGTCATTGTTTTTTGGTGGAAAAAATAAGTAGATAAGTAGGAAAAATATTTTAAACAATACAAAAATATACAATATAACCCCTTAGCTTGTATTTTTTTATGTTGCATGCGCACAGGGCCCTGTGCTGCTGGTGTAGTGGGAATTAAGATGCCCAGATACTGCCTGTTTGGAGACACTGTGAACACGGCATCTCGTATGGAGTCCACAGGTCTACGTGAGTAGTGCTGCCTTTCAAAACCTACACTACCGTTCAACATTGATAATAATAGGAAATGTTTCTTGAGCACCAAATCAGCCTATTAGAGTGATTTCTGAAGGATCATGAGGCAATGGCTTCTGAACATTCAGCTTTGCCATCAAAGGAGTAACAAAGGAATATTTCACAATATTGCTGTTTTTACTGTACTTTCAGTCAAATAAATGCAGCCTTGGTGAGCATAAGAGACTTCTTTTAAAAACATTATAAACTTTTTACCAAAATTTTGAACGGTACTGTCAATCAGTTCACTAGATTTCCCCAACTAAAGCATTGTGAGTAATCCAACGGTTTAATCTATATTTTATTCTATATTCATCTCCTCACCCCAGCACTACGAATCCATGTGAGTCAGTCAACTATCAACATTCTCCAGCGCACAGACTGCAAGTTTGAGTATGAAAAGAGAGGAGAAACTTACTTAAAGGTAGTTTTTACACTAACATTCTTTTAATAATTGTCCTCATCAGTTATTTTTGTATAATATATATATATATATATATATACTATTATAGCATTTATTAGTATTTTTAATTAGATTTTATTTTAATTTAAGATTTAGATTTTTCATCTAATATATATATTTTTATTTCATCTTCATTTCGCTGAATGAAAATGATTTGTAAAAGTTTTAGTTACAATAACAGCACTGGTCTTCATATACCCTGCAGGGTAAAGGAAAAGAGACAACGTACTGGTTGACGGGAGTTACAGGGAAAAATTATAATCTGCCAACGCCTCCAACAGCGTGAGTTTCACATTTTATGATCCTTACTGTTCCTAATAACTAGTCTGTGAATTCATTACTTGTCTGTGATGTACTTTAAAAAAAGATTTCATTATTGTGAACTGTCCTCCTGGCAGGGAAAACTTCCAGAATCTGCAGCAGGACCTGTCTGAAATGATAAAGGCGTGCCTGGAGAAGCGGCCCTGCAGCTTGTGGAAGAGAAAGACCCTGTCAGCACGTCACAGGAAGCCCATAGTGGAAGTGGAGTGCACAGAACTGCCAGAGTATCTCCACCTGGCCACCGGTGACAGTCTAAGCACATACCTGTAACCCCAACCCTGAACATCACACTAACACACTGCCGCATCAGCAACTGGACCAAAAGCCTGATGCAATCACTGCAAAATGTAAATACTGTATATTATAAAAAAAAAAAAAAAGCATTTATACTTAGTGTTATAGCATTATCTAACATTAGTAGTTGTTAATAAGTGTTGTAGATCTCAGCTTAGGTTTTAGCATGAGAGTGCAACAATATTTTACAGGAAAGATATTTAATTTTCAGCTAAACAATAATATAATAATAAACTCTTCACACACATTTGAAAAAGAAACGAAAATTTATTTCAATTATTTTGATAACTATTTACACAATAATGCTGCTTGGACATCTACAGTAATTCATGATTGTTTTCTGTGCTAAAAGATATTCTCTTGGTTGAAGAGAGACTAATTAATCCAATTAATCCAATATTCTTTGGCATACATACACGACTAAGGGTCTGTGCCCAGTTTCAACAAAACCTGTCAAGTAAAGAAAACCATTAGTAATTATTACTTAACATCTTCTTAACTTGAGGAGTTTTTTTTCAACAGGCTGCGAATCAAAGCTAATTGATTATGCAATATGTAATAATTAAAGTACATCATTATACATATAAAGTACATAAAAAAACTAAATAAATAACAACAAAATTCAATTTTACCTTTCACACCATGAAAACAAAGCCACAACCCATATTTTATAAATAAATTATATGTAAGAGCTCAGTGGAAGTATGGTATACATGGTATGGCCTATAATGTAGATATGAATTTAAGAAATTGTCAAGGAAACATAACAAAGATGGGGAGAAAACAAAACAAAAAAGCAAAAAGACAACAACAAAAAAAGTAACATTTCTCTAGTATCAAAATCACAGGAAATTTTGATTTTGACACAGACCATGTTTTTGATACTAGAGAAATGTTACACAAATGTAACACAACAAAAACATAAAGAATAAAAAAGGGCATTGTGTGTGTACAGACTAAAATTCAACGTAAACCAAAACATTACCTGTGCCCTGACAAGTAATCTGACATTTATTAGAATAAAATAAACACAGATGGGTGGCACAGTATGATTATAAAAAATACAAGGCCATAAAAAAATGATGCAAATAACACATAAAAGATCAAACTTGAAAACTAAAACATACCTCTGAAATTCAAAGCAGTGAGAAGATTTGTTTAACACACCAGTACAAAGTTTAAAGAGATTATTATACTGTACTGAACTGACATGCTCATATGATATGTGTCGTATTAAAACTTCTGCTGCTTCTACATCAGTTGCATCTACACACGTTGATGGAATTTGATATCTCCTCTGTTTCATATAATTCACTATTCTCTTTCTAGACACAAGGACTGTCATTATGCTCACAGTTTTAGAACATAGCAGCAGCCAATGGGGACAGAATAAGAATTGACTGACCCAGTAACACACTGAGCTACAAAACTGTGTTTACAAATGCCTCTTTCCTCTGTATAAATGTAATAATAATAATAGGTCATGTCGCTATAACAAACTAATTGAATGTTTGTTTACAAGAAAAAAACACAATTTCAAGTCAGTTTTGACTGATAATGCTGTCATCAAACATGACAACGAAAAAATATTTCACCCATCTAAATATACAGTGGCCCCAAAAAGTATCTGAACACTTAAGTCACATTTAAAAACATTTTAAAAATGGTTTCACTGCATTAAATAGAGAACATGTGGCATCTCCAAACAAATGAAACCTGAAATTTAATTTTTTCCCCCAATTACTTATAATCAACTGGTCTCAACGCTACTTTTAGTGGATGTAATATGAATGTACACAAGTGTTCTATCAGAATGACCACAAAAACCTATCAAACATTTTCCTGTGAAATGTTTTGCTTGAAAAAAAGTATTTTAAAGTGTCTTTAAAATAAAAGCCACTTGGTTTGCTATTCTGTCATATAACGCGATGACATTTATGCACTTTTAACATGGCTTAAGCATCCAAACGTGTTTAGGGGCACTGTAACTATTCAAATTTGTGCAAAACTACAGCATATTTAATAAACAAGCTTAGAGCTTAGGCATGCAAATCAGCCCACAGCACATAAAAATCCCAAAGAAAGCGAATTTGCACGGCTCTAGGCTAAAGAGAGCAAAAGGTGCTTGATAATTTGTTGAATTGAGGCATGTTGTTTGGAACGATTTTGATTGCCAGGCTAGTTCCTTTAAAATAAATCTATCCTCCACACAAACACATTAACAAGTGACACAGTATCATAATCCAGCACATTAGCTGAATGAACAAAACTAACTTCATTGTAAGTAAACTGTGCCCCGGACCTATTAAAAATCCATGTACAGCATACAAACACAACCAGAACTCTCCCGAGCCCTGTAATATCCCAGTGACCTCTAATGACACCCTGACCTTCTAACCGGCGCCAACAACTATCAAAATGAACTTCCACAGACTGTAAATGGGGGTAAAGTGCACTGCTGGTGGTCTGCCAGGGTGACACTGCTGGCAATTTACCCACAACTGATGCTAGATGGAACAGGACATGACCCGTGTCTGTAGCAGAGCCGCCCTTCTTCTGCTATAGCAAATGTGCAAAACCTAAACACTAAATACTAAATAACTGATTACAGTCTCATATCCACACAGTCTTTCCATCATTGATTACAATGTCTATCCTGACTAAGCCAGACTAAAGGCCCGGTCGCACCAAGGACGATAACTATAAAGATATAGTTCTATAAATCGTTCTCAATATTAAAGAATAGCAGAGTTCACACCACAGCAATATCGATAACAGCACAGAGAAACGATATCGTTGGAATCACTCTCAGAAAGATTTTATCCAGCTGATGAACGACAGCCAATCAGAATCCATCCAGCTGTAACAAGCTCGAGCATTTAAAGTGACAGACAAGCTGATCTCAGAACGATGCTAATATAGCTATCGTTATAGTTATCTTTCTTGGTGTGAAGAGGCCTTAAGTCTTTTAGTTATTGTTTAAATGCATTATATTTACTTAAATTACTATAGTATCCTATAACTATGTTGCACTCTTTGGTAACAGGCCATGTACTAAGATAGTAATTGTGATCTTTTCTAAACACCTCAGGTGCCTTTTGCTTTTAGGATTTCAATTCATTTTTTTTTTTGCTGCTGGTTGTGAAGTCTCCCACTAATACCCGTTGTTCGAGTCAACAAATCTAAAAAAGTATGGCTATAAAAACAGCATCATGAGCACATGAAAAAAAATGGATATCTAGAAAAATAAAATTCTTTGTATCCTACATCCGGGACCCATGGATCTGGAACAGCTGCAAAAGAGTTGGAAAATATATTATAGTCACAGAAATACACTACTGTTCAAAAGTTTGGGGTCAGTATGATTTCTTTGGAAGAAATTTGTACTTTTTTTCTGCAAGGATGCATTAATTTGATCAAAAGTTAAGGCAACGACATTTATAATATTACAGAAGATTTTTATCCTCTTTTGAACCTTATTCTTCAAAGAATCCTGATAACAAATGTATCAATTTCCGCAAAAATATTAAGCAGCACAACGGATTTAAACATTGATAATAATAAGAAATGTTACTTGAGCAGCAAATCAACATATTAGAATGATTTCTGAAGGATCATGTGACACTGAAGACTAGATGCTGAAAATTCTGTTAACAATTACATTTTAAAATATACATTTAGTCTGAGGATGAGCAAAAGAGTTTTGTTTTTTTCAAAAACATTAAAAAAAATATTACAGACCCTGGAACTTTTGAACAGTAGTGTATAACTACAGAAATATAGAATTACTATTAACTTTGGATATGGATAGTGTAGAGTGAGAAATATGCCTCCTTGTATGTTTCATGTAATTATGACAAATACAAAGATAATTTTTGCTGGAGATGTGGATATGGGTGGAGATGGCAGTGACTCAATGGCAGTTTATGGAACAGACGCTGTACTAAATATTGAAGTCATTTGGTTGAGTCATTCGTTCGCCATTTCTGGTCAAGTGACCTGTGCTAAAAAATCCAATTTTTAAGATATATGTATCCAAGTTTATATTCAAAGTTCAGTACCGCACAATAGTTTGTCTGGACACTTGTGAATTGTGTTTACATAGGAAATAGATTCTTACGAGGGAAAATCATGCTTGGGAGTTGCAAGGAGGTAAAGGCTATTGCATTTCATTGCACTGTGCTCATAAAAGGCAAGTAAAACTAGTTGGATAAATCCTCTTCATGACTATTTTCACAGCCAAACAAACTAATATAGATTTATTGTTGTTTCTTTGTGCTCGTCTTATTTGGTGCACTAAAATGCAATTTACCAAAACCCTTAGACTGCTAGAATTTTGTACATCTACCACTAATACAACCAACATGACAGCATTTCCTCACCAATTCCTTTGACACAAGTTTCTGCTAATCTCTAATCCACTCATTGGGGGTGGCATTTCTTTCTCCCACTTCCTCCTCCTCCTCCTCCTCTTCCTTCCTCGCTCCATCTTCCTCCTGTGTGTCCGAGGTCTAGTTGTGTTATGAGTGGACAACAGGGTGAACAGAAACCGGTGGGATCGCAGCACGACAGATGATGGCATACAAAAAAAACAACAACAAAAAAATGAAAAAGATTTATGAATTTGTGAAGAGTAGGTGTGGGAGGATCTCAAGGCTATTGATGTGAAATGAGATGAAAAGAAGCAGATTTTGTAGGTTGTAAGCATGTTTTTGAGAAATGTGTCAGTGGAACTGTGCTTTACGGTGTTGGTGAGATGGCACGATCGAAAACGGTGAGCCGTTACGTGTGTATGTATGCGTCTGCAGGTTCTCCAACCTTAGTCTTGTGGCTCTGCTCCGTCCCTAAACCCCCACCCGAGGTGTGCAGCTCTTTTGACACCACACACAGAAATTCAGCCTGGTCCTCTGTTCCATAGCTGTAAGATGAGCCAATGTTCACCATCTTGAAAAGCAAAGAACAGCCAAGAAAGAGAGAGATAGAGAGAAGGTCTTTCTTTATGACAGGTACTTGAGATTTGAGGAAAGGGGAGAGGGCCATGAAGGAAAACATCAAGATGGGTCAAATGCCTAGTCAGCTGTACCAAAAACTTCTTCATAGCATTCATTAGAGATAGTTTAGGTTGGTCAACTAGTCAAGTTGGCATGCTGATAGTGTGTTGTGCTTTATGGATGCATACTTTTTGTGTGAACCAATCATTTTGTGCAATATAGGGTAATAGATATTTAGCCTTGATTTTTCTTTAAATGTTGAACCGGATTTTTTGTAATGTTGGTTTATGTACACATGCAGATGGACGGTTTTGAATGTTGCATTGAATTGAATTGTTGCTCATGTCTTGCATTGTTTATAGTGTCTCACACCATGATCATTACTTTCTAATTTGGTATTTTAAAGGGATAGTTCACCCAAAAATCATTTACTCACCCTCATGTCATTCCAAACCTGTATGGCTTTCTTTCTTGTGTGGAGCAATTTTTTTCTCAAATATATATATATATTTGTCTATACAATGGAAGTCAATAGGCACCAATGTTGTTTGGTTACCAATGTTCTTCAAAACATCTTCTTTTGAGTTTTTACAGAAGAAAGAATACAGGTTTGGAATGAAATGAGGGTTAAAGCTGCAGTCCGTAGCTTTTCCTCTTTGTCGCCATCTCTCTGTTCGAAATCTGTAACTGCAGTGATTCGCGGAATTATCATCTTTACGTGGGTTGTAAATCGGCATGAAACAGCGCGGATGAACACAGTGTTTTGAGGCGAGTGCTGCTGTCAGTCACCGCGCTGTGTGGATACTGTCATACAGAATCATAGATTCACTTTTTTAAAGTTTGACCAACATAAGAATTTTCATAAGAAAATGTCTTCTGAACAAGTAACATCCATTTTTGTTCTGACCAACTAAGGGGGAAAAAGCATTCGACATGATAAGCTTCGTTAGATTTAATCAACGCGATTTACAGCAACCGTGCAAATTATAGCCTACTTTGTTCTCAAATTGTTCATGTTAACAACATCAGCATTGCGTGACTAATGTTAAATTTAATGTGTTTTATGGTTACCTGTGTAGTTCAGAATTCATATTCTCCATAATAGCAAAACGAGAAAGGCACAACAAAGGAACCTCCATAACTGTGTGAATTAAGAAAACATACTGTTACACGATTGAACTATTGAAATGTCTTACTTGTTCAGCAGAAAAAAGCCGTCTCTTCTTCCAGTTCACGCACTTTTCAAAAGCCCCGCCGATGTTTAAATCCTTGTGTTCGCATGAGACAGTTTCTTTCTCTTTCTCTAGCCACCTTAAATCCGAAGTACGAAGTCTTTTGGGTTTTATAACTGCTGAATCTCCAGTTGACACTGATGATTGTTGTTTGGATCTTTCTGGATGCCATAAGTTTAATCATGTCAAGTGCTGCGAGAAAAGCCTATACATCTAAACATCTCGTCACGCGCAGTATAGCCGGCTAGCCGAAACTCCTTCTTTATGTGTACGGGTGTGACGTAATGACGCAAAGACATGCTCGAATTTCCCGCGGAAACCCACCAGTACCACTGGAATTAAAATCATTATTACAAGCTTACCATTTTGAATCTAGCTATGGCAAGCAGATAGTTTTGACCACTGGCAGAATAAGTTTTTTTTAATATAATTATTTTGGATTATTTTTAACTTAAAAAAGTTACGGACTGCAGCTTTAAGAAAATAATGAAAGAATGTTCATTTTTGGGTGAACTATTCCTTTAAGAAACGTATCTTATTGGTGTATGGTGGACCCCAAATCATTCTTATTTTGTTAGAATATGTAGTTTTCCACTTTTCAAACATGCAAAATATCATTAGGGATGTGCAAAACTACATACCGACAAAGCTGGAATATCATATAGTTTGTCATTTTTCAACAACGCATAATGATTAAGAGGTTTTGGTGCAACTGATCACGTAAAATCCAGATGGATACAAATGACAAAAGTTTAATTTCACACTTTAGCTATGCTACTGGACTCTGAATCTGAGGGGAGAATTGGACACTGGGAAAATTAGGATCAGGGGAAGGGAAATCAACTCAGTGTCAGTCCAACCCACAGTCCAGAGCAGTCCGGGGCGGGGTTTTCGGCAGGCGCGCACGCTGACCTGCTCAAACTTCCAGCCGTCCGACATGGTGGACACCATCTGGGTCAGCTCCTCTTCCTGACACTGCAACACCCGATACACGTGCTTTGGTGGTACCTGCTGTATGAGAGACAGAGGGAGAGGGTGAAGACTGGTGAAGAGTAAAAAAAGAAATGTGGTGGGTAGTGGAGGAGAATGCCAAAAGGCAAGTATGGAAAGAAGAGCGAGAGTGGGTGGGAAACTGACGGCTGTTGCATAAGCACGCAAATATGGTCACAGATGTACAGTAGAAACTGAGACGGACAGAAATATAGTGCTGAGAAGGTGATGAAGCTGAAAACTGGATACTAATGGAAAAAAAAAGCAATAGCCTATATTTCCAGAAAATGAAGCAACATGGGAGGCATGATAAAACACCCTGCTCATTACCTGTGTAGCCTTGGAGTCTCGCTCAAGAATCCTCTCTTTGATTAATTTAATCAGTGGTGTGATGTTGTAGAACTCTGCCTCCTCCAAGACACCTGACGGCACAGACACACTTCATTTTTACAGTTTAATACGGTTATGTGTTTTGACTAGATATGCACCGATATTGAAATGATAAATAAATAAACACCTAAAACTAAAATGAATCGTTGTAAATACTGCAAGTGAATAAAGGCAAGATACATTTAACAATGCTATTATATTAGTGTTTTTAAATATTAACTTTAAGATGAAAAATAATCTAAATGTAAAAAATAGGGGAAATTACCATATACAATAAAATATCCAAAATCGACTAATAAAAACAGAACTAAAACGAATCCATTACAGTAAATTGTAATGTAGACATGCATTCTCTGTAAAGCTACGTTGAAACAATATGTATTGTGAAAAGCGCTATACAAATAAATTTGAATTGAATTGAATTCAAAAGTATTAATATGACATTAATAATACTAAAATAGCACCTGAATAATATCGATAAATAAAAAAGATCTCTGGGTGATAATCATATGGTACCAATGCATCAATAGTTATGTGTTGATATTAAAATATATTATTATAATATTAAAATTATAGTATTAAAATGGTATTACCATAAATTTGAAAATGCATAGTCTGACAAGTGACAACAGTTCTGAGAATAAATGAACAGACCTTCTTCTGCCAACTCCTTGTTATAAACCAGCTTCCCATGTCGCAGATAGTTGAGGATGGGACCAAAATAGGTGGGATCTCGGTCAATCACATAAGCGCCAGTTTCATCCTACACAAACACATCACAGGTCTCTCAGTTTAAGAATTAAATACAATATGGTATTTACTTGTATAAGTACAATAACATTAAATATGTAACATATAAAATATAATAATATTTATTAATGATGTATATAATATTTTACCAATATTAGATGTTGTTAACTTGCTAATATTTAATAATGTGGCAACTATTCCCTATGTAAATGTGACTGACTCTGTGCTGAAGCTGTTTAACTGCAGTACAGGATGCACTGAACAGTACATCACATTCACCACAGGGAATAAAATGTGACTTGGCACAAGCGAGGATGAACGTTAAAGGAAAGGGCATGCGGAAAGTGGCAGTGAGCAGAGGTCACATTAGCATGGCCACGGTCATTGTCCCAGAATGGCTGAGGGTCTCCTCTTTGCAATGAATTACCCTAAGAGCTCAGCGCAGCTCTATCGAGACGAGACCTACGGAGCAGGGAACCATATAGGCTACATCATACCCTAGCCTAGTACAACATGCCCTACAGAGAACATTACACAACTGAGCCCAGGGCAAGAGCACTCAAAAGGCACAAAGAGGAATCAGAGAACAAGGGAGTGCATAGAAGCACATTAAAGGTGAAGGAGGTAAAAAGAAAGAGGAAGATGTTGGCGTAACAGAAGGCTCAAGACTAAATAGCAGCACTGGAAGGTTATAAAAGCAGCACTATAATAGAGAAAGCAGAGGGCATAAATGAGATAACACTGCAGATTCACAACATTGACTTGAACAACACACCTACACAACAAGCTAGATTTGATTCATTGTACAGCCCTTTTTTGATTTATTTGTACAAAAATGTATTTGCACAATTTTGGTGATATTCTGCTGTATTCAGTAAATTCCATTTGTGACTGGATTCTGTGACTCCATTTGCATCGCAGAAATCATAGGGCTCTACATGGTATTACGTTAAAAGAGAGGGTTATTTATTGTTGTGTTATAAATTTATAACCATTAGTAAGAATGGGTTTTCAGTTAGTAGTGGTCCCCTCTAAAACTAGGGTTGGGTACTGCAAGTTTCAATTGCAGTAAGGTGAAAACATTTAGTCAAACATTTATATCAAACATGTTTCATGTTTCAAATCAGCAGCCTAAAGAACACTAACATTTTCCTATGGTTTTAACAAAAAAAATACCACAGCAAAACAACTGGACTAATTTAAAACATTATTAAAGACTAGTTAACAGTAATAAAATAAAAACAAATTAGCAATAGCACAAATAAATACAACTGAACAAAATTCAGAAATTGAAATCAAATGTAAAATAAGCGTTTTCTTTTTATAAATAAAATATTGTCAAGATATCAGTCAAGATCAGAGAGTAATTTTCTTTTTCTTTTGTTCATTGATTAACAGTAATGACACAGACGGCAGCAGTCACTTTAAGCCTTTATGGAGGCTCCAATATACTGTTACAAATGCGTTTTTTTTCTTCTTCTGTGTTTAGGAGGATATTTTGACATAATTTTGTGTGCATTTGTTAGTTCAAGCGCAAGAAGACGCGATAGAGAACTCAATTTGGTATTCGTGCACTAAATGAGATGTGGCTCTTAGTGCCGAATTGAGTTCTCTTTCGCATCTTCTTGTGCTTGAAAATGGTTTGAAATCACATTAAAATGCACACACAGGCATCGGTAAGTGGAATCGAAATTTTAATAGTTTAAATAAAGTATCCGATTACAGAATTGGAATCGATTTTTAACTCCCAACCCTACTCACAACACTTTACATAGTGCTCTTTGTGGCCATTTGGATATGCAACAATTGTTTCAGCTACACACCGCCGGTATGGCGGTATTTGAAAAATACATATCGTATACAATCATTTTGGGACTAACAGATGGACATGAACAACATTCATAGACAACAAACTAATTATCACATACAGAGTTGCAAAAAGCATTAACAAATATTTCCATTAGCAGCACGAAATCTTACAGATAATAGTAGCAGCACAGAATTAATTTACGCATGATGAGCAAACACACACACGTAAACAAATCCCATTTTCGAACCAGTAAGTGCTAAAGACAGCCACACAGTACACATGACTAGACTTGACAGCAGCAGGCATGACAACACCTGCGCATGACTCCTGCAGCGAGTCAGAAGAGACAAGCTGTTGTCCCGCTCGGGATTTCACAAGAACACGAGAACGAACACAGGGGATTTTACACACAATACTACTGTATAAAAACACAGAATTCAAATCAAACAAGTTCGCTATCTGTCCACGCTCATCTTGCGTTAACGTTTAACTCTGCAGTTGCACAAGGAAGTATAAGAACCACGTCCCGATAGGGAACTAGCTGCATCCCATGGGAAATACCTGGTAGGCAAACAAAGAGCGTATTAATTTCAAAACAGAACCACATAATAACCTGTGCCACAAAGCATCACAGCATGCAATAGGAAAGCCAAATTAACAATTTTTAACAGAACCAATTCTGGCTCGTGTTAAAAGCACAGTTTTTAGGGGATAGTTCACCCAAAAATGAAAATTCTATGAGTGTTGGTAACCAAACAGTTTCGGTTAACCCTTGATGTCCATTGTATGGACAAAAAAACAACAAAAAAAACAATGGACGTCAATATGAACCGAAACTGTTTGGCTACCAACATTCTTTAAAATATTTAAAAAAAACTATACACCCAAACTCTTTGAAAGGGAAAAATGCATATGTAAACTAGCAATGAAGAACAGAGCAGTCCAGGAATAGAACAGAGAAGCCTCCATAGATATTTTAGTGCAGAGGGCTGGGAGTCGTCAAGGTGCCATGACTTTAATCTCATTAGAAGAGTGACATGAGCAGTGAGAGAGCACACAACACCACAGCGGCCCGTAATAACTGAGCTGTGATGAGTGATCGTCTGTGCCTCGTCACTCACTGTGCGGATGTGTGGAATAAGTGGGAATATAAGAGGATAGCTTGGGAGGGGGTGGATACTGTGAAGGCAGAGTACCATCTGTTAAGTCAAATACTGTTTGTATGCCTTAAGATTAAAAGACACGTACAACACGCATTTCAATTTATATCGGTAAATCTCACCATATTTAACCCCAAAACCAAAAGACAGAAATTGAGAAATTATACTTTCTTAAAGACAATGAAGCTTAAAGAAAATTAATTTCGGAAAAAGTATTATTATTTGCATTTTTTGACAATATTTTCATAAGTAACATTAAATTTGATATGATAACTAACCATAAATTACGATAAATTTAAAAAGAAACAGGCATTACTGTAAAGCGGAAAAAAGCAAAAATACATAGTGGTGAGGTCAGGGATTGGGACACTTTTGCTATTGAGAGGAATTGGAAAAAGTGCAATCAATCTGAATTCACCATACTGTAAAGGCCATTGCACACTGAGTCCGAAATTTTCGTATGCGTTTCTTCGTATTCGAGATTCGGTGGCTCTGAATTGTCAAAACATCATTCAAACACCATTCAAACTGATTGCTACGGATGCGAAAAACGCAGAAAATCGAACCCGAATCGATTTTTTTTATGACGGACGAAGTTTCGAAGGCAGTGTGCAAGCGTGATTGACATAACGTGAGGTCGTATTTATTTTTTAACGTGAGAAAATTTCGGATGCGAATTTCGGACTCAGTGTGCAATGGCCTTAAACTATTACCATAGATGATGACCCATGGGAAGACATATGGAACCATGTTAAAAACATGCATTTGTATATGGCAAAAAGCCAATACAATTCAAAATCATCCAGAGATTTCATATATTCCCCATCCATTGGTTATTCTAATCACTGATTGTCATGCTTTTAAAATGTATACTGAAGTAGGTACCATATTGCAGGTTGTAGGTATTATTGTAGGTCCCATACTGCATGTGGTCAGGTTACAAGTGTTTCTGTCAAGTGCTATTGGAAATACTAAAAAATATATATTTGGCATCCAACTAGAATTACATCCAGTTTTATTAGATTTGGGCCTTCCGAGCAGACACATAAAGACATCTGCCAACAGGAAATTATATGATATTTACCTTCGCTGCCAGAAGAAAACATTTTATTGCAGTGGGTCAGTGATAATAAGGCCCGCTTCACATAAGGGTTTGCATAAGGTGATATTTGCTCTGGTCCCACTGGAACTCCTGCCATGTGCTTTACATTCTGACAAATCAGTTCTATAAGATATGGATGCTTTGTTTGGATTACCTTAGGCCTCATTTCCCTTGGGTCATTTAACATGGAGTATCTTAACCATAATCAAAAAAAAAAAAAAATTCTAAAGCAGAATAAAAACAACAGATAGTTGACCACTATGCTGTCCAAACCTTTGCTAAAAAAAACTGTTTTGACCGCAATGCAATGAGGAGAGTATCAATAAAAATAATAAAAAAATACTTGTAATAATAAATAGCCTAATAATAAAAGAAGCTTCATTATTTACATCCAAGATATGATTTCACGAGCCTCACTCCTATAAATTTAGGATGTACTGATGATCTGGCCATCACCCCATCAAGAGGACTTCCCTCTACACAAAATCAGCTTCAGGTGGATCATATTATTTGATAAAGGAATCGTGCAGTAAAATTTTACTGGTTAATAACTGCGATGACGCTGTAATGCACAAACACTAGGGGTCCTGCATTAATAATCAGCGTAGCACGCGCACATCCATCTGACTGAAGACCCCCGTCGCATCATTAATGTTACACCTCCGCGCCCTGGATCACAAGAGTCATACATTAACCTCACTCACTGCTGTGATATCTTACCGTGTCCGAATGTAAGTCTTGCTGCTGGCACAGTCGGTACAGAAATGAAGTTTGTTCCTTTAGCAGCGTTTGTCGTGTCGTTAGAAACACCGTCCCACCGACGTTGAGACGGACCCATTTGCCGTTACTGCCTCCGGTGGTATTAACAGCTGAACCGTTTCCTATGATATTTTCAGACCCACTGGATTCAACGGCTGTAGCCGTGGCTGTAGTGGCACCTTCGCTTCCCTCGTTGTCTTTGTTGTTGTTATTGTTGTTGTTATTATTGTTTAGATTGCCGTGTGTTGTTGCTGCTGAAAGGGATCCCGTTTCCGGTAAAGCCTGGGGCGCCGCCGTTTTTCCTTTGTCCTCCGTTGCCATTAGGGTACTACACTGAGGCTGGTCTGATGCGGACTGTCGGTGCGGCTCGGATGCTGTTCGGGTGCCGTTCTGTCTCCCACGGTGAAGCGGCGTGCTACTGTTTTTTTTCCCGTGTCATAGAAGTAGAATAAGCGCGCCAGTTGATTGGCTCGTATCCTGCGATGTGTTCGCCCCGCCCACTTGCCAGTTGATGCTGCTTTTGACGCAGAAACCAGTGCAGAATTCTAGAATGAGGAATGTATTTAGGCATTTGCAGCTATGCATGTTTAATTCTGCATTCTTACAAATATTTAAGATTCTAGGACGTTAGTTAAGTTTGTGACTTGCTCTTCGGTACATTTTCATTATTTTGATAACATGATTATCAGGTTTTACACTACCTTAGTTCAGCTCGAGTTGGACAAATCAAATAATGTTTCACTCAATTTGTTATGCTGATAATATATTTTGTAACGAGCCTATAACAAAATATATATATAAAAAAAATATATATATATATTTATAAAGTTTATGCCTTTTTATAATGGCCATATTATAAAAAGGCATTTTCATAATCCCTTTTTATAATATGGCCATTATATTTATGCAATATATATTTATTATATTTATGCCTTTTTATAATGGCCATATATAGCCATATTTTTTGACTATATGGGTAGCTATATATAACTAACAACATTTCACTGATAAAATGTAACATCTATTTATGATGTAGATTCAAACTGTAAATTCAACATCTATTCAGCCTGTTGCAAAGTATTCAGCTTGCAAGGACTTAAAAAAACAGATTTATATAAATAATAATATTAAAGTTAAAGTACTCTCACAATTTAAAATTTGAATACAATTATTTAAATAAAATATATTTCTATTTAATTCACTTTTTAAAAAAAGTAACGCAATAGTTACTTTCCCTGGTAATTAGTTACTTTTATAATGATTTAACTGAGTTACTAACTCAGTTACTATTTGTGAGAAGTAACTAGTAACTAAAAACTTTTTTTTTAAGTAACATGCCCAACACTGGTTGACGGACATTCTAATTTGTTAATATGTATCACTTATGACAGTAGGCTTTGTCATGAACACAGATCTCAAATTAGACAAGTTAGTCAAGCAACTTTTATTGCATAAACAAGTATTATGCATTCAATCTCACAAAAAGTATTATGGGGCAAAAACATACCTAATAACTTCGTAAAGCTGCCTGTAAATATCTGATGCAAAGTTGATTAAATAATTTTCGAGTCTTGCATCTGTATCCTCTAGACAGCTGTTTAAACACTCTAGCAGACTGTCTTGATCTCTGGAACCAAAAAGAAGGGGCTGAATAGTGATGAATGAGAAGTTGTAGGTCTGAGGGAGCCCCAGATGAGCTGTCCGATTGAAACGGCTCCAAGAGAAAGGTGAAAGACCATTCTGAGTAGTGGGTCCGTTCACAGCTTCGGCCATAAACATCTGGGCCATGTGGTAATCTGTAACCTAAATGGATGCAGCCTCCATTAGAATCGGACTATTTATGCTGGCATTTATTTAAAGGAGAATATATTTTGCCCCTTTTTACAAGACGTAATATAAGCCTCAGGTGTCCCCAGAATGTGTCTGTGAATTCTCAGTTCAAAATATCCCACAGATCATATTGTGCCATGTTGTAAATGCCCATTTTTGATTGGAAGGAAAAAAAAAATGCAGTTTTTGTGCATGTATCTTTAAATGCAAATGAGCTGCTACTCCCTGCTTTCCAGAAGAGGGCGGAGCCTTTACAGCTTGTCCCTTGGATACTCTGCCAAAAACTAAAACATTAGTTTGGTTTTGATAATCATCTCTATCGCAGTCACGCTCACGTGACATTGCAGTTCTTCTTCATCATGAAAGTTTTAAAGCCATTTTAGTCTAAACTTCTGATATATGGTTTTCTGAACGCACAGGTTATGTCAAAAACACACAAAGTTTACAAACACAGTCGTTTATGTCTGTGGACGTAAACAGCAAGTAAAGAAATTGCATGTGTATATTAAATCTGTGTATTAAAGTGAAATATACAGGACCTACTGCTATATATGCTGTTAATATGAATCAAACAACAAAAGAAAAACACAAAAATCACTCACTGCTCTTGATTGAATAACATTAGTAGCTTTAATAAGAATACATTTCTTACTTGAATGCTGCTGTTAAATGCTCTTGCGAGGAGATAAACTTGGCGGACTGTGTACAGCTCAGTCAGAGCGGGGTCTATGCTAATAGGGTCCTTCAGCAGTCGTGGGCGGGGCCTAAGCAATGTGATGTCACATTGCATAGAAACTGAAATTATGAATCATGATTTATGGGGATGGGATTGGGTGGATTTTTTTACCATTATAGCCAGGGTGGTTGTGTACATACACTGCCGACACACATGTATGTTCAAACACCATGTAAAAGTGAATTTTGCATAATAGGTCCCCTTTACTAATACCAACACATATACCAACATGACTTATTTCTGTACCTTAGTATCATAACATCCCCCTGGAAGAGGTCGTCGGAGCCTCAGATCATTACGGCAGCAGATGGATTTGCAAGGGTGCTTCTTTGAATATGGGTCTTTTCTGTAATCTAACATGACAAAGTGTTACTGCTCATCAAAGAAATGAGATTATGAAGACAGCAGATTAGTTTGAAGAAACAGAGAGATCCTGAACTCACCATTGTACCTCATAATGTATTTCAAGGTGTCCAGATTAGTGACTTTTCCCTGATCCCTGCGGAAAATCTTAGCACGTGGACAGAGGTCATATGAGAAGTCTTCACCATGCTTTTTCCACATCGCACCATAACCACTCATTCTGTAAATGTCTGAGTGGAAAGGTATGTTGTAGGATGCCCAGTAACCTATTGAGACGATTTGTAAAGCATATGATCTTGTTCAATTTAACCTTTTAACCTTCAGTGTTTCCAACCTTACATCCTCTCAAATTAATTTTCATTGGAGTGATCATAAGGATTTCCTTATTATAAAAATACTCCTCACCATGACGCAGCGCTTGTGACTGATCTGAATACGCCACCAAACCAGGAATCTGCTCCACAACAGTCAGACTCCATTCTTCAATCTGCTTTCCAAGTGAAACTCTTTTCAGGTCCACCACCATATACTGGTTATTGTAGGTCCCTGATAAAATTCATCCAAAAATAATTGAAAATAAGACCATTTTCAAGACAAAAAGTATGTAGACCTCTCATTAATAGGTTTGGCTGTTCCAGTATATCTATTTTTGGGAAGTCAAATCTTAAAGGGACAGTTAATTCCATCAATCATTTACTCACCGTCATGTCATTAAAAATATGTTCCTAGGCCGTGTGTCAAAGCATTTTTAGCCAGCTGACAATGCCAGGCGCTCTTCTGAAGGCACAAGCGAGAGAGTTTTTTTTGTTTGCTTTTTCAGTTGAGACGTTTTGGTTGCAATGATCTGATTTCACAGATAGTTTGTTTCTGAAAATAAAATTTAGACACAATGTGAACTACTTGCTCTGGTCCTTGTTTTGGATGATTTTTTTTTCTGTTGTGCTTGTTGTTGTCGTCTGTTGTCGTTGTAAAAGCAGGATGTGACGGTTGGGTGCAGTGTTGGGGAAAGTTACTTTAAAAAGTAATGCATTACAATATCGAATTACTCGCTTTAAAAGTATAACTACCGGTAATTGTGTTACTTTTTTTACTTTTTAAGGAAAGTAATGTGTTACGTTACATTTGTGTTACTTTTTCTCACCTGGGCTGGGCTTGTTTTTTCTTTTTTAACAAAAAAGTTATATTGTTGGGCAAATGTAAAGATCCTTTCACACCAAAATTTAAATAATAAGGCTGAAGGAAATGTAAATTCACGCATATACTGTGCGCAGCTCAAACAAACCTTTCAGCCGTGCTGCCATTCTGGATTGCAGATGAATAGAATGCAGGAGAAGAAGGTTTAACACTTACTTTACCAATAAAAACAAAAAAAATCTAAAATAATTTTTGATTAAAGGTCAGCAGCAAGAACATTGGTCAATAAAGTGAGATTAAATGCATAACAATATATGTTTTATTTAACACATTTAATTTTTGGAGGTTTTGCGTATTCTGATTTAGCGCTTCACTGATTTTATTCTTTTTGAGGAATACTGAATCTTTTTTGTGCAATTGAGATGAGTAAATGCATGCTCACATTTAGTCTAGAACTACAATAACCATCATGTTTAAACACAACGCCTCTGCACTTACTTCCGATTACTCTGTCAGTCATGAGAAAACACAGTAACTTGTGTTACTTGTTTGAAAAACTAACTCTAAAAACTAAAACTAATGCGTTGCTTTACTAGTTACATAACTCGAGTTACTTGTAATGCATTAGCCCCCAACACGGGTGTGGCTAGGTGTTGTATTTGTCCCGCTCTTCCTCCACTGTGATTGGGCGGCTGGGTAAATGTGACATTGATGAGCGCTGCGTTTTACCCAAAGTTGAACATCTTCAACTCGGCCACCAATTTTCCCCCCTCCAAATTATTACTTAAAATATCTTGTTTTGTGTTCAACAGTAGAAAGAAATGCATACGTTTTTTGAATGACATGAGGGTGGGTACATGATGACAGAATTTTCATTTTGGGGCAAACTATCCCATTAATGCTGCACCATACAATCAGATTCTAGAGAATTGTGTGTTTACAAATGTTGATAGACGACACCACCACAGAGCAGTGCGAATACGGACCACAATATTTCTCATAAAATAATTCACCTTTGTCTTGTGCATCTCTTTCTCACCCGAGTTGTGCTTGGAAAATATTTGGGCCCATTGCTTCCCTGTGCAGGCCAGCGCATTTGCTACACGCACTCTCTGCCAGGCAAGCAAAGCCTCTGGGGTCACCAGCGAGAACAGCGAGGAGTTGAACACGTTGTTTGTTGTCTGAGTTACAAACAACCCCGTTCCCAGCAAATAAAAGTCATCCAGAGATGACAAGGTCCCTGGAAAGGATGCGAGAAACAGTTTTATAGTACTAAATTAAATGATTAATTACTAAATTTGAATGATAAAAGGCAAATATATGCCTTTAAATACCAGGGTAGCTGCTAAAGGACAATCTGCTTGTGCTATGTTTATTTTTCAGGTGAAAGTCCCAGTGCTTGTAGATTCTCATGCTGGCTGCATAGGTGTACCAGCTGGAGTGACCAAGCAACAGATTCTCATAGCCAGGTAACAACTGCAGATAGAATAGGAACAGAACAGTTAAAGGTGCACATTGACAAGGCCATAACCATCATAGGCACAGCCTTGAATATTCAAATATGGGGTCAGACATGGGGCTTTCAATGGTCGATTCCTACACTCTTACATTTGGTTCTACACAATCCATAATATTTGATACTGTCATGAGGTGAAGGCATCATTATACTTCTAACCTTGATGAGAGCAGAGCAGTGACTCATCCCTGGCATTCTGAAGGAGTCCGAAGAAGAGTTGGAACGCCTTTTGAGTGCAGGGATTAAATCTAACAAATCCCCAATACCATTAAGGAATTGAACCGCAAACATGGGCAGAGGCTGGGAGTTGAAATGCAAGCATATAGTTTCACTTATTAACACAAAATGAAGAAAAAAAAAATAGGCTAAAGCATGATTGTCAATGAATGAATAAAAAGGAGAAAGTTGGAGAAACTTAGACCTTTTCAAATGTCCATGAGAGTTATCAAACTTGAAGAATGAGATGTACAGTACAAATAAACAGATGCATGCATAATTCATGTTTTCTGACCTTTTCCTGTCTACTTTTGGCCCAATATGCTGCCCCGGCATACAATCCATCTATCTGAGCCACTAGAAGACCCACATGATGCCACAAGGGATCACTTTTCTCATTTAACTTCAATTGTGTTCTTGTCCATGAGTCCTGCTCACTATTTCAAAGAATGGAAGTTTAATAAATAATTCAGTAGAATATAAGCCTTCAAAACCACGAACAAAGTGTTGCAACATGTGAATACATACAGTGATATGCAATTTGAATGTTTAATATAATGCAAGCAGGTGTATTTCATCATATCTGACATTATTATTGTAATTTTGGAATAGTGCAATCAGTTTAGATAATACACGTAAACTTACCTCATAAATGATTTCAGAGGTGTCATAACACTATGATCCTTAATCATCTGAGGATACATATTAAAGTAATGGTTTATCATCTGTCTGTGAATGAAAAAGTAATTGATTATAGTTTTAACTGTAGTCTGTTATTTGATAAATCACTTAAAGTTAATATATTTTAAACGTACAACATAAATGTCATTAAGTATATTTTAGTATACCATAAATGCTTGTCAGTACTTTAGCTAACTATATAAGACAATAGAAGTAATTAGGAAATTATTTGTAAAGATGTTCTTAAACCCTACTTAAGTGGCTAAAAAGGCACTCTTAAGTCCAACTAATAGATTTAAACTATTATAGATTTTCATTCAATTGTAAATAACATGCATTTAAGTGTCCAAACCATTACATTCATTTCACAGTTAAGTATAGCCTATTCTTATAAAGTATTATTTCCGTAATAGGTCTATTCTTTTTTTTTTTTTTTTTTTTGAAGTATGCTAAAGTGTACTTCTTTTTCCACACGGCTTAGTATAATTTGCTTTAAAGAGAGAAAACTTACGAAGCTGTAAGGAATCCTTCAAGGTATCCGGCCAAGAAGTATGTAATTTCATCGTTGTCCTGGGATTCCCCATAACCAGCCTGCACTTCCAGCACTCCCCATCCAGAAACAGATAAACTATCATTGAAATAGCCAAATGCATCTCCGTCCTCTTCCATTACATCCTCTTTCAGCACCACAGACCTCCGAACAGCATCCCAATATACGGTGGCTCTCTGAACATCTGGTAAACAGAGAGATCGCACATCAATAAGCGTTTAATCGCTAGATGTTTGATTTTTTGTTGTTGTATTATCTTATTACGCCTCGCTTAATAACCAAATGCCCAATAGAATAACGGACCAGGGTTTGTTGTAGCTCCGATCCGCCTTATTTAACTTAGTTTTTTCATGCTAGACTTATGATGTTATGCAAACATGCAGAAATTAATAATAAAATAACCATCAGTATGACCAAAATGTGATAATAAAAGAATACAATTAATTTAAGACACTTACGCTGAGCTTTTACGAAGGTCACCGTTAGGACGCACAAAATAAATCCCCGTGAAAATCGACTCATGTTTCACGCTGAATCAAGTTTTCCGCATCACGACAGCTAAATGATCGAAGAACTTGCGAATTTCCATCCGATGAAAGTCGGAATATTGGTTCGAATGGTTTTCTTATGCGTATAGACCTACATTTAGCTGTTTATCACCTGTTGTATCGCTAAGAAAAAAATGTCCACCCCAGATGGGACTCGAACCCACAATCCCTGGCTTAGGAGGCCAGTGCCTTATCCATTAGGCCACTGGGGCTTTCGTCCTTAAGAGGTAAATGGCGATTTAGAAAGATGATGCAATAGAAATTTATGTTACGAATTAAAATTATCTTATATATTTAGTTTAATATGTCGCATCTAAAAAGTCTCTGATGCATATAATTAATAGATAATTATTACTCGCTATTCAGAAAGCATACACATTTACGTATTAATCGGTGTTTGTGTTAAATTCCCTAGTTTAGAGATTTGTTAAAATTATTTTATTTATTTATATATATAATATAAATAATGGTGTATTTAGTACGTGCAGTAATTTCATAACAGTCAAAAAGTCATAACAGGACTGAGCTTTTATTATGTAAGAACATGACACCGTGACCGCACCGGCACTTTCAAAGAACTGCCGCCTCCATGTGCCTCCTGTTGTGATGGTTCTGTATTTCTCTAGTCAGGCTAGTTATCTGCTCTCCTCCGTTAATAACTGAGCCCAGGTGTAAGGTAAATATTCTTAAGTATAAAATTCAGTATGATTTTATTTTTTAGATTTAACTAAGGTTGCTGCGCTTTAATGGCTAGTTTGAGGTAACGTATGAGATTAAAGCTAGGTAGCTAGTTCTCTGAGCTAGCCTGAGCGGTGTGTATCAGCCAGTGTACATAATATTAGCACGTTAACTGTGTGGGACAAAGTGAGCGCAGCATCATCTGTTTGGGGTTTATCGAGATGTAAGGTGCAACAGACCATTGTAAAATGACAGTTTTCATCGTCGGTATTCTAATTATATATATATATAGTGACAGGCTAGCATATTGAGCTAATGGTACATTCCTGTTAATGAGTTAAAAAGTGTGGATGTAATTATATGTATGCATAAATACACATGCTTGCGAGATCTAGCAGTTGTATGACGTGTTGTGTATATGTTGGTGCTATTTTTGTGATTCCTGTTCATGTTTGAATAACTTTAATAGTACATAAAGCAAAGGGAACGCAATGGCCTCTGGAGATATTGCTCAGATTACGGAGGCTCTGGCCAAGACTCATGTTGGAGAAGTGGAATTAAGTTATAAGGGACGAGGGCTAAAGTTGGACAATGCTGAGTCGGGTGAGTAAACCTCTCTGTTAGCAAATGTTTACATTCGCCATTTCTCAGTGCATCAACACTAATTTTCCCTCCTTTTCTGTGATGTTGCAGTGAAAGAGATGGTGAAAGAGATTGAACAGTGTCAGGGTTTGCAGTCCCTCAGATTAGAGGGAAACACACTGGGGGTTGAAGCAGCACAGGCCATTTCCAAGGCTCTTGAAGCTAAAAGTGAATTGGAGGTACTTTTAAATGGCCATTAGACAATTTCACTCTGATGTGCTATTTGCTGTATTTAATCTTAATTATTTTTTAAAGCAATGTCATTGGAGTGACATGTTCACGGGTCGCCTTCGCTCTGAAATTCCACCTGCTCTGGTAAGAAGATATTAATCTAAAAAAGTTCAGTTTTATGTAATTGCTATGAGTAAATATCTTATTTCCAACATTTTATTCAAATCCTCTAGAAATCATTGGGCAATGCTTTGATGACATCAGGGGCCAGACTGATTCAGCTGGACTTGAGCGACAATGCCTTCGGCCCTGATGGTGTAAAGGGAATTGAAAGCCTCCTGAAGAGCCCTGTGTGCTACACCTTACGTGAGCTCAGGCTTAATAATTGTGGCATGGGCATTGGAGGGGGGATGGTAAGTTTAGGCTGAGATTAACTCAGAGATGCAACTTTTTAAAGACAAACTCGTCATCCTTTGCTTATGTTAGTGAGATGTTTTTAACATGTCAAGTCTTTTTAAAACTCATGGAAAAGAGGGAGCATGTGATTTTAATTATTGATGTATTTTCTTAAAGGTCCTGGCTTCTGCATTGACTGAATGCTACAAGCAATCTAGTGCAGCTGGCTCCCCCCTGAAGTTAAAAGTCTTCATAGCTGGACGTAATCGTCTGGAGAATAATGGTACCACTGCACTTGCCAAAGCATTTAAGGTAATGAGACAATGTTTATTTTTTTATATTATTTATTTATATATATACATTCATATACACACATATACAGGGTTTGGACAAAGTAATGTGAACACCCATTGTTATAGGGGTTAATGTTGCAATTATCTTTTGTTTACATTTTGTTAGTATACATTGTCCAGGTTGCATGCCTTTGTAGTAGAAGTTGTGTTTAGCTGTGGATAGTACAAGAAATTGGTCAAATGGGTGACATGTCAGACTTCCAAAGAGGATAAATTGTGGGAGCCCATTAAGCAGAAGCATCTGTAACATTAATGGCCCAATTGATTGGTGTTTCAAGAGCAACAGTATCCATAATTATAACGGCGTATACAAAGCATGGCAAGACTTCGTCAGCGAAGAATGATGAGGACGTCAAACAATAAGAAGGATTGTTTGCAAACAATACAGAACTACTGCAGCAAAAGTGACAGCAGAACACATTCTCTTCCTTCAAGACCCTGTTTCCATAACAACAGTCCGCAAAGAACTTCACATGGTCAACATCCATGGAAGAGCTGCGATTGCTAAACCTTTAATAAAAAAAAAATGGTGTCATGGTCATAAAACCTGGACAGCAGAAGACTAGAAATGACTGATGAATCATCATTAACATTATTCCCAACTGAATGTCATGTTTATGTATAGAGAACCCGCAAGGAAGTGTAGAACTCGGGCTGTCTGGTTCTAACGGTCAAACATGGGGGTGGATCTTTGATCGCTTTGGCAGCCATATCTTGGTATTCGGCTGGCCCCATCATTATTACCAGCAAGGATTTGTTGGTCAGGTACATCCTATGGTCCAAATGTTCAGTCTCAGTTCAGTCTTGCTTTTAGGAGCACCAGAATGGACTTCATCTGCCCTGGCCATCTCAATCAACTGACTTCAATCTCATCTAACCATTATGGGCAGTTTTGCAGAGACAAGTGAGAAGCAGAATCTCTCCTCCTACCTCTCAGAAGCAACTGAAAGATGTTCTGCTAGTCTAGACGAATGATTCAACATTCAGTTGGAAACTATTTAAAAGTTGAAAGCTGTATTAAAGGTCCAACACCTTATTAATAAAGAGATGTTATCTATTTCACTGGTGTTCACATTTTGTCCAACCCTTGTGTGTGTGTGTGTGTGTGTGTGTGTGTGTGTGTAAGAGAGAGTGAGTGTGTATGTATGTGTGTATATATATATATATATATATATATATATATATATATATATATATATATATATATATATATATATAGCTTTGCTATCATAGGAATAAAGTGCATTTTAAAATATATCATAATAAATGAAAAATAATTGTTAGAATATTTCACAATATTACTGTTTTTACTGTGTATGCATAAGAGACTTCTTTCAAAAACATTACCCTGTGTAACAATATAAAAGTATTTAATGTTTCTCTTTTGTTCTACATTTGTTCTATTTTTCACAGGTGTTAGGCAGTCTTGAGGAGGTCCATATGCCACAGAACGGAATCAACCATCCTGGTATCACGGCTTTAGCCGCTGCCATGAAGCATAACCCAAACCTCCAGGTCCTCAACCTCAATGACAACACTTTTACTAAGAGAGGATCGATAGCCATGGCAGAGGTATGTTGTGCAATATGTCTCTGCATCATGTAAAAAATGTTTATATGGCTAGAACAGATGTTCATTATTGGCTGTGTGTGATTTCTTCCATTTTCAGGGCATTAGGTTCCTCCGTTGTCTTAAGGTCATCAATTTTGGGGACTGTCTGGTACGCTCAGAAGGTGCTATTGCTATAGCAGGGGCCCTTAGAGAGGGACTGCCATTCCTCAGGGTTAGTTAATGCATAATACCAACGTCAAATCTTGATAAAACACACACAAACACTTACTTTCAATGACTCAGCAGCTTAGTGTTTTTTGTAATAGGCATTCTAAAAAAATCTCTTGTGTAGGAGCTGAATTTGTCATTTGGAGAGATTTGCGAAGCTGCGGCTTTGGTAGTTGCAAAGGCTGTTCAGGGCAAAGCTGATCTGGAGAAACTGGACCTTAATGGTAAAGTATTTTTTGCTGTCACAGTATTTTATTACTACAAACATAGGCCTCACTCAAAGCCAGTATTATCATTTTATAATATATAAATGTAATATGTTTTTTATGTATAATATGTTGTATATGTTTTTTTTAAATATATATATATATATATATATATATATATATATATATTATACATCATATTTACATTACTTAATGATTTGATTTTAAATTATTAAAATCATTTGAGACAAACTGTTTTTTTCACCCTCCCTTTAACCCCTTAAAATTGGACAAGAGTTTTTTGCAGTCCACTATTAATACCCCTATTTTAACAAACCTTTTTCAAAGCTTGCAGTTCATACGGACAGGTTCAAAAAACAAACTATACTGTAACGGGCTGCAAAAATTATCTGGACCATTTAAATGCTTTTATTTTGAATATTTTTAAGTCGTGCTTTAAAAGTCACCCGCTTGTTTTGTTGTGTTTTTCTGAACAAGTCTGGACCGTAGTTTGTTACTTTCACATTCAATCAAATCACATCACAGTTTTGTTGCAACCAAACGAGGGACAAGCCTTACAAATTCGCTCTCGCTACAAATACTTGCATTGGATGGCTGTTTTCAGTTTTTTTTCTGTGTATGTTGTATCTGTACCTATTCAAATAAACCATAAATAAACTCAGACCACCTCATACAGGTAGTCTGGTTCAGTACCACCACTTTTTATGCGAACATGCTCCGTTTCGAGCTAAACTGCCAGTGTGAAACCCCCCTTAATAACGATGCGATCTTGCATAGTTTAAATAGTTTCTCTGTTCTGTTCATTTTGGTGTCAAAGTCAGTTATTCAGTGGCAATTTAATCTTGTCTGGGTGCTTGTTTAGGAAACTGCTTTGGAGAGGACGGCTGTGAGGCTCTCAGGGAAGCGATGGAGAGCATGAACATGGAAGAGCTGCTGGGCTCGCTCAGGTGTACATCTGGGTTTTTGTGAAAAATGTAGCTTATTTGTCATGTGCAAATAAATTGAAGGCAAATGCATGTTTACTATATTTGAAATATTTTCACACTGAGAGTAATGAAAGATGTGATTAATGCAGTGATGATGAAGGAGAGCCTGATGAAGATGATGGAGAGCCTGATGAAGATGATGATGATGAGGAGGATGATGATGAGGATGAGGAGGAGGAGGAGGGGGGGAAGGAAAATGGTGTCAATGGAACAAAAGATATCATTGAAGAAAAGGTGATCCTTGCAAACATCTCCATCCCCGAATGAGCCGCTAAACCTGATGTGTGTCAATAGCTGCTTATCTATTTTACATTGGCAAACCACTGATTTTTACTTGTTCACAGGAAGAGCCTCACTGCAGTTCTGAGTTTACATCCTTCCTCATCTCCCCGTCGGCTGAGAAACTGATATCCTTTGGAGCCAAAAGGATCCAGCTCATTGAGCAGGTACGGTGTTGAATTGTAAGGTCCAACTGTACATGAGGACAGTTTAACTTGTTCTCCAACCACCTGAAATCATTTTCTCTTTTTTCTTAGGTTGATGTTTCAGATGCTAGTAAGGTGTCAGAAGTTTTTCTCAAGACCTCCTCCGTATATGAAGATGAACCGGAAGTAAAGCAAGCTGTTTTTGAGACCACTGGTATGAGCAAAGTACTTACTACCATTGATTCAAGTAAACATTTAATAGGATAGTTCACCTAAAAATGAAAATACTGCCATCATTTACTCATCCTCATGTCATTCCGGTTACTTTTCTTTTGCCGTGCTTAAAGCAAGATATTTTGAAGAATGTTGTTACCCAAACCGTTTTAGTGACCATTGACTTTAATTGTATAGACAAAAAAAATCTCAAAATATCTCTTATGCTCCACATAAGAAAAAAAAATCATACAGTTTTGGAAAAACATGAGGGTGAGCACTTGTTACTGAAAATGTTGAATGCCATTGTTTTTAAAACCAGCTGTTCATCTTGTTGCATAGATGCCCTGTTGAGGAAAGCCTTTTCCAACTCCCACTCTCAGTCTTCTAGTTTGATCTTTTCACTGATAGTGAACCTGGGACTTTTAAAGGTACCACACGCTCTGACGTGATGTTCAGTTCAGTTTTTCCCCATTTTGTCGGTGGTGTGAATTGCTGCTGATTTCTTTTCCAGAGTGAAGATAAAAAGATAAAGAAGGTATCTGTACTGCCTGGACACTTGCTCGCTTTGGAGCACGCAGCTGCACAGGAGTTTTTCCCAGTGGATCAGGCTGGCATTCTGGAAGCATTCGTGTCACGGTTAGTTTTGTGTTCAACATATGATGTATGTCTAGTCTTGTTGCATTTTTCTGACCACCTGTACAGTAATAATAATGATACTTTAAGCTTTTGTATTTGTTTTGTTTTCCAGAAATGGCAAAGTCTTAGAATCCTGCTCCAGTGCCAGAGATGCTCTCAAGACCACATTGGTGAAAAGGACCACTGCTTAAATCTTAACCCCCAATACAGAGCCACTGAAATTACTTAATACGGGTCAAATAATAATAATAAAAAAGAAGCTGAATACCATACATGATACTCTCTAAACTAATGATCTAGTTTATCTTTGGTCAGACCATTCTGGATCAATTTTGGCATGGAGATCTCAGACAACTGCAAAGTACAGTGATAACTAGTGCCTCATGATGACTAAGCCAAACTGAATTTCCTTACAGAAGAACTGTAGACAGTTGGAGTAGCTTTGAAGAGTGTTGTGTTCTTTTGTCTCTTTTTAGAAATACTATGTCTATTTTTATACATAAAAGGGAAAATAGGGGAAAAAAGGCACTGGATGATAATTAGGGCTTAATTATCGCTTAAACCTTAAATGATTATAATGTTATAACTGTGAAATTTCTGAACAATGATTTTAAAGCATGTTCACTCTCTCATGCCTTTGATTAGATGTGCCATATTGTGAAATATTGGTGGCGGAATTTGTGTAAAACCAAATTCAAGTATAAACACTTAAAGAGTCTTTGGATTGAAGTGAAGAAAGCAGTGAAAGTGAAGTAAAGATGGTTTGGACATTAGTATATTTAATACTACAACTGGTATGCACTGAATATTATATTTGCAACATTCCAATTTATTGATATTAAACATTTTTTTCTTGAGAGGAAAATCGTGTCGTTTGTGTTATGTTCCAAATTTTCTAATTGAAACCCGTTATTCACGCAGTTACAGATGTCTTGTAATTATAAAGTCCTGTAGGTCAGCTCTCACTCCATTGCCCTTTCGCAACGCCTGAGTAACACGAATGCCCCGAGTTCACTGAGCCTTGAGGACTTCGGCAAACCTCTCAGTATCATGGTTCTGAAAGGAATATAGGCGTTGAAGCCTTTGCAGGGAACCTTCTCTCCTCCAGCGGTTTATTTATGGGAGACTGAGAACAGTGCGCGTCTTTGTGTGCAGCGGTCTGAAGTCTCTTGAGACTCAACGAGCATATTTCGCATTTGAAAATCAGTTTCTCGGCTGCTTCGTTCGCGCTGCCACTTTTCTCTTTAAAGAAACAAAGTTTTTAAATTCTTTTCTCTGCATTTATTCAAGATTTTATTTTATAGACTATTGTTTATGGCTGAGCGATTACTGAGGCCTATCATAACTTTTCACTTGATGGATATTAGCTAATGAATGAGGATTCATTCTTACCGACAAGGTGCCGAATTTTTGAAGACTTTTTTTAATTGGTTTTTCAGAGTAAGTTGTTGAATGTTTTATTATTGATGCATATATTATTGTACATTTAAAATTAGAATTGATTTCAATTAGCTGAGACTAACAGCAGAAACATTTCTTCAAACTGTAAAATGAATCGTTCATGCCCAATAGCAAGGCAGATAGTCACAACAGCAAGGTAAGTTGTCATACGGAAAACCTGTCTTTAAACAGTTTATTAATGTTTTCAACTAAGTGTAAACACTAAAACAATTATGAAACGGAACCATTTACGGAGAAGCAAAAAATGTGATGCATAAATATCAGATTATTGTTTTGAACAACAATTCTGATCTATAAATTGATTTTAATCAAATTAATAGCATTTTAAACAACTTACCCTTGCCAAATTGTATCTATACAGTTCTACCTTTTAGTTAGTTCTGTAGTTGAGTCTTGTTTTACTGTATCCCAGTGTGTTTATATTGTATTGTTTACACTTATTGTTAAATTTTTTTAGAAGGTTTTAAAATATATGTTGCTGCTAGAAAACACACCTTTGTGTACATATACTTTTGACTCAAAATCTTAGACATGGCTATTATGACAGAATCTCCTTGTCAGATTTGACATTGGAGTTTGCTAGTTTGCTCCTGAAGTGCTTATTTTGACATTCAGTTGTGAGGCATTGAAGGAGCTGCATTCAACCATAAATTATATGAATGCCTCCAATCCAGCCAGTTTAAACATACCAGCGGAGCTCAACACACCAATTCCTCAAATTTTGCAGCATTAGCCAACTAATCCGGCAAAGTTTAAATTAATCTGGCAGAGGTTTTTCTTACAAAGTAATCTGAAAACTCAAAAAGCTAATGAATTAGTTATTTTAGATGTTGCAAATCTCCTCTTGTTTTACACAGAAAGATGTGTAGCCTTCCCATGTTGCTGGTTATAATATTGTTTGCCCTGAAGATCCATACAGTCCATCCAGGCAAATGCCCAAAGTTCTGTATCTGTGACAACATCCAGCTCACAGTTGCTTGTGTCAACAAGAATCTCACTGAGGTTCCACCTACCATTGATGAGGTAATCTGTGCAACACCGTGATCACTAGTGCCTTATTTTTGCTAAGGCCTTGCATTGTTTTAATGCTCTGTTCTGTATATCTCCAAGATAACAGTGAAACTCGACCTGAGAGGAAATGACCTGCAGGAGCTTCCTACAGGAGCGTTCACACACATACCTTACCTCACCCACCTGTCTCTGCAGAACAGCAACATCCGAAGAGTTCGGGAAGGAGCCTTCCGCAGACTTGGCCGGCTGGTCTTTCTTAACCTGGCCAACAACAAGATTGAGATCCTGTACCAGGTAAAATGGATTGGCCTTTGTAGCTGTAACCTGGACAACCTTTGCATACATCTCATCATTTTCTCTCCTTACAATCCAGGAGTCATTTGATGGGCTTTCCTCACTGAAGCAGCTGATTATTGACCGGAATAGAGTGGAGGAGATCCAGCCTGGGGCTTTTTCACAGCTTGGCCTTCTCAACCTCCTCTCCCTCACACACAACCAATTGGTGTACATTCCTAACATGGCATTCCAGGGTTTGCAGAACATCAAATGGCTACGTCTCAGTCACAATTCCCTCAATTATCTGGCCACAGAGGCGTTTGCTGGCCTCTTCACTCTTACTCGTTTGAGCCTGGATAACAATGCACTGCAGTTCTTTCCCACTGAGACAATGACACGGTGAGCTTTAAGAAACATTCTGGGTTTAATAGTTATTGCATTAGGTGTCATGAACTAACAATGAAGTGGGTCTTAAAATTAGGTAAATACAGCCTCAAAAGAACAACAACACATGAATATATTACATTGTGTCATTATTCATTTACCAAAAATAAAGCCAAAATGGAGAAGTCATGTGTGACAAACTAAGTACACCCTGTCATTTAATACCTCGTAGAACCACCTTTTTTAGCAGCAATAACTTAAAGTAATCTTTTTCAATATGACTTTATCAGTCTCTCACATCGTTGTGGAGGAATTTGTCCCACTCTTCTTTACCATGTTGCTTTAGTTCATTGAGGTTTGTGGGCATCTGTTTATGCACAGCTCTCTTAAGGTCCTGCCACAGCATTTCAATTGGGTTGAGGTCTGGACTTTGACTGGGCCAGTGAAACACCTTGATTCTTCTCTTTTTCAGCCATTCTGTTGAAGATTTGCTGTTGTGCTTTGGATTGTTTTCCTGCTGCATGGCCCAATTTCAGACAAGCTTTAGCTGTCAGACAGATGGCCTCACATTTGACTCTAGAATACTTTGGTATACAGAGGAGTTCATGGTCGATTTAAAGACTGCAAGGTGCCCCAGTCTGTGGCTGCAAAACCAGCCCAAATCAACACCCCTCCACCACCGTGCTTGACAGTTGGTACGAGGTGTTTGTACTGATATGCTGTGTTTGGTTTTCGCCGAACGTGGCGCTGTGCATTATGGCCAAACATCTCCACTTCTCGTCTGTTCAAATTACATTGTTCCAAAAATCTTTTGGTTTGTTCAGATGCAACTTTGCAAACCTATGCCATGCTGCCATGTTCTTTTTAGGGAGAACTTTTTCTCCTGGTCACCCTTCCAAACAAGGCAGTCGTGGCCTGATGGTTAGAGTGTCAGACGTCAGACTTGAACAAGGCACTTAACTCCCATTCCCTCCCCGGGCACCACAGCAAAATGGCTGCCCACTGTTCCGAGTGTGTGTGTGTTTACTACTCCTAATATGTGTGCACTTCATTAAGTGGGTTAAGTGTATAGAAAAAAATCAGAGTATGGGTTACCATACTTGGCCTTCACATGTCACTTTCACTTAAACAAGCCATACTTATTCAGTCTTTTTCTAATTGTACTGTCACGAACTTTAACATTTAACATGTTAACTGAGACCTGATGAGTCTCTCTTGGGTTTTTGCAGTATCTCTGATCAGTGCACGGTCTGGCCTTTGGGTGAATTTGCTGGGACGTCCACTCTTGGGAAAATTGGCAACTGTCTTAAATGTTCTCCACTTGTGAATAATCTTCTTCACTGTAGAATGAAGGACGTCAGATTGTTTGGAAATGGCCTTGTAACCCTTCCTAGACTGATGGGCAGCAACAATTTCTTCTCTAAGATCATTGCTGATGGGATTGTGTTAACACCACAGCCTACCTAAGTATTGTTGCTGACCATGTCAATCCCTTTATGACCACAGTATACCTACTGTATCTTCTGATGGCTACTTCCAGCAGGATAACGCGCAATGTCACAAAGCTCAAATCATCTCAAATGGGTTTCTTGAACATAACAATGAGTTCACTATACTGGCCTTCACAGTCACCCGATCACAATCCACTTAGAGCACCTGACCTTTGGGATGTGGTGGAATGGGAGATTCGCATCATGGATGTGCAGCTGACAAATCTGCAGCAACTGAGTGATGCTGTCATGTCAATATGGACCAAATGTCTGAGGGATGTTTCCAGCACCTTGTTGAATCTATGCCATGTAGAACCTGGTTTGAGCCCCTTTTGCCTTCAGAACTGCTATAATTCTTCGTATAGACACACACACATATATATATACACTCACCGGCCACTTTATTAGGTACACCTGTCCAACTGCTCGTTAACACTTAATTTCTAAGCAGCCAATCACATGGCGGCAACTCAGTGCATTTAGGCATGTAGACATGGTCAAGACAATCTCCTGCAGTTCAAACCGAGCATCAGTATGGGGAAGAAAGTTGATTTGAGTGACTTTGAACGTGGCATGATTGTTGGTGCCAGAAGGGCTGGTCTGAGTATTTCAGAAACTGCTAATCTACTGGGATTTTCACGCACAACCATCTCTAGGGTTTACAGAGAATGGTCCGAAAAAGAAAA